AAAGTAATTCAATCTCTACTTTCTACTATCTTAGTAAGGTTGGGTTGAATAGACTCGCTATGTCTTGTGGGGGGGGTCCATCTGCATCCAAAGAGAGAACTTGGAGCAATATGGTAAGGCCCTCAGACAGGCAGATTCCAGATCTACACCTTCTACTTCATTTGCTTCCTCCTCAAGTAATTCAACCTCTGCTTTCCATGTTCCTACTGAAAACCTAGAATCCCCAAGGATTTTTGATTCTGGTGCCTCCAACCATATGACTGGTAAGTCAACCTTGCTAATCATATACTCTTCTCTCGGGCAGATATAAAGTGAGGTTAGCCGATGGATCCTTCTTCTCCATTGTTGGTCAAAGATCTATATCTTTGCCTTTTTGGTCTTTCCTTATCCAATGTCTTACATGTTCCAAAGTTACCCATTAATCTTTTTTTTAAATAAATTATATATCACATTTCATTAAAATCAAGAGGAAATTACACGTGCCTTGAATTGTTCAGTAACCTTTCTTCCACATTCTTGTATATCTTAGGACTTGGCCTCCAAGAGGACAATTGGTAACATGGTCGATGGTCTCTATGTGCTAGAGAACAAAGTTGGTCTTGTAGTCTCGGAGTATTTAATTCAGTCTAGTAAGAGTCAAGTTCTTTTGTGGCACCATTGTTTAGGTCATATGTCTTTTAAGTCGTTGAAGTACTTGTTTCCAGATTTGTTTAAGTATATGTCAGTCAGTGATTTTCAATGCCAAGTATGTCAACTGAGTAAACATTGTAGAACTTCATTTTCTTTAAATAATAAAATATCAGAGTTTCCTTTTTATATTGTGTATTTTGATGTTTGGGGACCTGTTAATATTCCAACTGAGAATGGCTACAAAAATATCATCTCCTTTATTGATGACTTTTCTCGATACACTTGGGTTTATCCTATGCACTCACGGGAAGTCCCTAAACTTGTGATAGATTTTCAACGTATGGTCTACACCCAACTTCATATAGAGATTTAAATCTTCCAATCCTGCAATGCCAAAGAGTACGTTCACGATGACCTCACATATTTCTTTGTTTCCTATTGCTCCCATCACATGAGCACATGTGCCAGAACCCCTCAACAAAATGGGATTGTAGAGAGAAAAAGTCGCCACCTTCTAGAAGTTGCTCGAGGGCTGATATTACAAATGAATAAGATTTTGGGTGGATGTTTTGACTATTGCCTATGTTATCAATAGGGCGCCATCTCGGTTACTGGAATATAGGTCTCCTCATCAACTCCTCTTCCCTAAGGCCCCAATGTTTCCTATACCTATGTATGATTTTGGGTGTCAATATTTTGTTCATGATCTCTTTCCTACTCGTGGTAAACCCAACCCCAAAGCTATTGTGTGCATTTTCCTAGGTTATCCTCTTTCTCAGAAAGCCTATTGTTGCTTTGACCTCGTGTCCAAAAAATATTTTGTCTCTATGTATGTTTCTTTCTTTGAAAATGTTCCCTATTTTCCTATTTCCCCTCAGGGGAAGAGTCCAATTGAGGAGAAACAAAAACAGACACAAGTTGTATTACCTCATCTTCCTGATCCTCCTCCATTTTGTATCTTCCGAAGACAATGTTACAAAAGTCAAGGCCAACAAAGTTCAACTACCACAAAGCCACCAAAAACTATGCCACCAATGCCATCGAACTCTTAGGGGTTGAATCTCTCATCACACCCAAGTACCATTGTTCCAGTTGATACCCCTGAACCCATTGATATTGACACTTCAAGCTATGATGTGAACCTCCCTACTACAAAAAGGGTGTCAAATCATGCACCACACACCATCCCATGATTCATCTCTTGTCCTATGAGAATATCTCATCGTCATTTCGTGCCTTTCTTTCTGCCATTGATAGTGTTCCCCTCCCTAAGAGTGTTGCAGAGACTTTACTTATTCCTAAGTGGGCAAATGCAATGAAAAAATCAATGCCTTAACAAAAATGGCACGTGGGAGTTGGTAGATCTTAGGGAAATGAGCCAATGGGGTGCAAATGGGTGTTCACTATGAAACATAAAGTAGATGGCACTGTAAAGAGATACAAGGCTAGGATGGTTGCAAAAGGGATTACACAAGTGTATGGGGTTGATTATGCTAAGACTTTTGCTTTGGTTGCAAAAATGAATTCTATCCGGGTTCTTCTCTCTTTAGCTGCAAACCTTGACTAGGAACTTCATTAACTAAACATAAAAATGCCTTCCTGAATGGTGATTTGGAGGAGGAAGTATACATGATTCAACCTCCTAGATTTTGTGCTAAGGGCAGTGAACATAAAGTCTGCAAATTGGAAAAAAAATCTTTATATGGCCTAATATAGTCTCCAAGGGCTCAGTTTAGTAGGCCTATCACATACTCTTTGTAAAGATATTTTTAACCTTTGAACCTCTGAGACCTTGTCTCTAGTGATAACGATGTCATCCACATTGACAATTAAGGTTGTTGTTTACAAAGAGTGGCAAACTATCACACGCTCTTTATAAAGAAGGAATAAGGAAAAACAATAGCCTTAATTGTCTATGTAGATGACATTGTTATCACTGGAGACAAGGTTTCAAAGGTTCAAGGGTTGAAGAAGTTCTTGGTTACACAAATTGAAGTGAAGGATCTAGGACCTCTATGCTACTTCCTTGGAATTGAAGTTGCCCATTCTCGACAGGGTATCTTCATTTCCCAAAGGAAGTACACCCTAGATCTTCTAAAGGATATAGGAAAGCTAGGAGCTAAACCTGCTGACACACTTATAAATGTCAATCACAAACTTGGGGACTGTAATGTGAGCCCTTGAAAGATCCAAGGCTATACCAAGGACTTGTGGGCAATACCAACAGGGTATCTTCATTGCATATGCCATGAGTGTCCTCAATCAGTTCATACATGCACCCAAGGCAGCACACCTAGAGGTAGCAAATAGGGTTCTCATATAGTTAAAGAAATTCCCAGGGACAGGCCTTCTCTTTAAGAAGCATGGACATATGAGGGTAGAGGTGTAGATTGACACTAATTGGATCAGATCAATAGATGGCAGGAAATCCACCAACGGATACTATACCTTTGTAGGAGGAAACCTTGTGACTTGGAGAAGCAAGAAGCAAAGTGCGTTGGTGAGATCAAGTGTAGAGGCAAAATACAGGGCCATGTCACATGAAGTTCCTGAATTGCTATGGATTAAGAACCTATTGGATGAATTGGGCTTTCACTTTGATGATCTTATGTCACTCTATTGTAACAATAAAGCCACTATCAACATTGCAACCAATCTAGTTCTCCATGATAGAACCAAGCACATTGAGGTTGACAAGCATTTTAGTAGGGAGAAAATTGAGAAGGTAGAAGCGCTCACTCCTTACATTAGCTCTGAGGAACAACTTCTAGATGTTTTTACTAAGGGATTAAACTCATTGTGGCATTATGATCTTTGTGACAAGTTAGGGATGATTGACATCTACGCCCCAACTTGAGGGGGAGTGATGTAATATGTACTATACATCATAAGAGCATTTATGACTTTTTCCCCTCTTTTATTTTGTACGGTCACCCTAGTCTATATAAACAAAATCCGATGCCTCCAGCCAGAACTTTTGGCCCTCTCAATTCTTTCTTCTTTTTTTTCCTCTTCTCTCTTCTTCTTTTCTTCTATCTAACTGAAAACAGTCAGTCTTGTTTACCCTAGCTCACTAGCTGTCTCAGACTGGTTTTGGTGTGGCCTGAATTCACACAAGTCCAAAAGAGAAGATGATGGGGACAGGCCCAGGGAAGTGTTGGGATTATAGTTTTGTATTTTGGATTTGTTCTGTTTTTCCCCCTATCTCGTGATGTTTCCAGGTGTTTCCTTAACACCTGACCAGTTTGTAATGTTTTTTTCTTTTCATGAAATCTTTTCCTTTATTATTAAAAAAAAAAAAGAAAGTCTTGCTTACACTTACTAATCTCATGTATTGCTCTTAGTATTTGGGAAAGGCTCTTTTCTCTTTTCGAGTGCAAATGTAATACTCCTACTTGTGTGGATGGCCAAAAGGAAGGGGAAGAATTATGTGGAGATGTGCAAGGGAAGCAGTGTTGCAGACTTTATGGGAGAAAAATTTATGACAGAATATCCGATGACAAGAAAATAATAAGAAATCTTTGAATGTGTCACTTATAGGACAGCTTCCTGGCTAAAAACTCTGGAGCTGTTTTTACCATTATCTATGGATTACATAAGAAATTGGGCCGCAGTAGTAGGTCATCTTCAAAAAAGAGGAGGGAGATCTGTGCATGAACAGGACTGAGCAGGGGCTTCCTAAAATTGAACTGTGATGGCAGCAGTCTTGGAAATACAAGGCTTTCCAAAATAGGGGTCTTTTCAGAAATGAGGGAAATTTAGTTGCAATGTTTTCAGGTCCAATTGGTAATGGGGATTCAATAAGAGCTGAAATTATGGCGGCTATGTTTGGAGTGTAGAAGCCTGTGGAAATGGATGTGTCTAATCTAATTATAGAAGGTGATTCAAATGTGGTAATAAGTTGGTTACTGGATGGGGACAAGTTATTTGGGCATACAGAAATCTGATGAAGAAGCTCAAGTGGTTGACTAGGAATCTACAAATCAAGGTTCAATGGGTTAATAGGAATGACAAATGGAATGGCTGGTATGCTAGCTAAGCAAGGAGTCAATAGAAACCAAGCTTTTTGGGCTGAATTGTAAAAATTTGTATTGGGGGAGATAGCAGTTGCTATGCTCCATCGGGTTTAGCTGTTTTTTTATTGAGGGGGAGGGGGAATTCTTGTAAATTTTAATTAATGAGGGGGATGGGCTTCAGTTGGCCCTAAACCTAACCTGGGAGTCTCAAGTTACCAATCTAGGTTTTGCTGGTGAGGTTGAGATTTGGGCCAATAAATCTCCCATATCAAAGCAAATGGCAGTTCCTTGTATAAATTTACTTAAGACTGGGCATAAACCTTCAATTTCATAACTTGAATATTGAGTGCTCACATTTAAAAACAGTCACCCAGCCATGATTGCTCAGTTTAAGAAAGAGGTCATCATCCTTGCTACAAGTTACGTAAAGAAAACTCCCTCCATCATCACCCCAAGCTAGCAAGATCTCATTAAGAGAATCATCCACGCAAGATACATCCAGCAAGAAGCAATCCATTGAGTATAGTGTTGCCATCTTTTTGACAAAGGTCCCCTACAACAAGCAGATAAAAGTGTTAATAACTAAATGTAGGTGAATAATTTCTCCTTCCTTTTCAATTTGTAAATAAAGGTAAAGAATCGCCATATGTATGGTTATTAGGTAGTGGCAAACCACAAAAATGGCATGCATAATTACAGATGCCAGACTCTGTTAAGAAAATGAGACAGATCCTAATTCTTGAAAGAAGAAATAGCAGCTCCCATAATGCCACCTACATAACATAACACTAGAAGGATCTTGTTCTGCAGTCTGTGATAACAACTGCAAAACTAAGATTCTTAGACTAAGATCATGATTGTAACTTTATAAATTTAATATATTTATCTATAAATTATTTTAATTGTTTAGTTCAGTTTGCATCTTTTTTTATAGGTAATAGAGCCAAGAATACTTATATTAGAAAACAGCAACAGAGAAAAAAGACAAGAACATACCTAGACCAGAAGGACCAATCCTCAAGTAGAAGAAGACTTTATCGGGTTGTTTAACCTCTTAAAATGCCTTTTTCAGAATATTTGCATCATATGTAGGTTAAGGAGCCATTTTATGTAGGTTATTCTCATTGAAGTGAAACTTGAATACATCCTCTTATGGTTATGTTATAGGGCACAAGTGGTAAACTTTGTATGATAAATACATATATGGTGGATGTGGCAGGTAAAATAATTCTTTTCTTTATTTAAGATTTTAACTGCACTTTATAGGCTCTAACTGTACAAGGCATGTGAAACGATTGGGGCATAAAACAGAGGGGAATGGAGTCAACTTTCTTTAGGTAAGGAGATTAGAAAATTGTTTGGCTCATTGATTGGCCAAAGAAGAGGTAAACAGGCAAAGTTATTTTGAGCGGATTGTAATACACAGTCTTTTGGAAAGGAATAGGTAGTAACTAGTAGCCTATGTTTGGGGTGCATGGCATATTGTATATACAATATTCTTTCATTTAAATCAATAAAATTCTAAAGTTACTCATCAAAACAAAATGTTTTAAAAAACTAAAAGAAATAACTGTCAACTTCAAAAGGATAATCCAACAAAAAGTCAAAATTGAAGTGTTGAACCAAAACTAAGGTTGAATGTTAGAGGATCTTGTAAACAGGACTGTTATATGGTCAGAACAGTAAATAGAAAGAGAGAAAAAAAAGTGAGGGAAAAAGATGTTAGAATTGTTAGAATTAGTGACAGGGGCATACTTATCTGTTCCCTTGTTACTTTAATCTCTTATATCTGCTGTAACTTATCTAGGGGCATTGTTGTCATTTCAGCAATCAGTAAAATGTTAATACAAGCTCGGTCAACAGTGAGGAGAGTTAATTCGACTTCTCCTTGCTTGTCTCCCTTCTTTTCTATCTCTCTGCTACTTCTTTCCCTTGCTTCTTTTTCTCTTTTTCTTTCACTTCTCTTTATTGATGAAGTTGGAACATGGTATTAGAGCTCTAAGGGCGACTGTCACTGTTCACATCTCTCCTTTTTGTGCCCTAGGAATAGAGAACATTCTCTACTCTTTATTGGAAGAGAAAAGGACTCAAGAGGACTGATGGCCCCCTTGGAAAAGAGGCTTCAATACCTCGTTGCAGTGTTGTGTGAGTTGTTGGAGCTTTTCCAAGGACCCTCTACTCGGCAGTTCAACGAGGACAGCCTTGTGATGTCTCAATTTGTGTGGTAATGCTCCTCAATGTGTGGTGATTTTTTTGGTGGTTTGTGGTTTGGTGACATCTTGTAGTAAGTGTGTGACGCTTCCCTAGTGTTTCTAAAGTAAAAGTGGGGTGATTCTTGGTGTTTTTTCTAAGAAAAAGTGTGCTATAGTAGGTATATACCAGCTGTTTGATAGTTGACCTAAGTGATACACCAGTGATTTCTTCTCATACTCACGGCTTTATCAAGTAGTAACACTGAACCTATAGTAGTTGTGGAATTAGATCTCATGACTTCTCAATTAAATACAGTGAAACTTAATGGTACTAATGATGTATCAAAAAAACCTTAATGATACTAATTATATCCCACGGGCCAAGTCAATTGAGGTATCTCTCATTGCAAGAGGTAAGTTGAAGTACATCAAGGAGGGCCACTGAAAAGTGGACCAGAAAGGTACAATGAATAGGTACAAGAGAATGCCCAAATTATGACTTCTCTTTGGAACAGTATGGAGAATCATAAGGGTACAATGAATGGGTACAAGAGAATGCCCAAATTATGACTTCTCTTTGGAACAGTATAGAGGATCATATTAGTGTGAATCTCATGTTTCTAGACACAAACAAGGAGATTCGGGACCATGCCAAGTAGCTGAATTCCGAACAAGACAATGTAACAAGAATTTATCAGTTATACCAGGACTATTTTTCTCTTCAACATGGGGATAAAAGTGTTTAAGAATACTATGCTTCTTTAAAAAGCATAAGGAATGAACTTAATGTTTATCAACCCATATCCACTAATTTGAAGACACAACAAGGCCAAAGAGAACATCTAGATGTTGCAAGGTTTTTATCTAGGTTGAGGTCTGAATTTGAACCAATGTGGGCCCAAATCTTAAGGCATGTTCATTTCCTCTTAACTCTTATCTCTTAAGAGGAATCTTTTAACTTTAAGAGAAAAACGGTTGTTCATTTCATCTTATATCTTATCTCTTAAAATGCAATCATACAACTTTTTGTTTTCCAATGATACCCCCAAAAAGATAAACAAAAACTCTCATATATGAGGTCAAAATGGATATTTGATAATTTTTAGAATTCAAAATTCAGAACATTCTCTGCATTCAGAGTTCAAAAGAAAGAAAAGTTTATCAATACCAATACCTTTTAATGTAATTATTGCACTTTCAGATGTCAAACTTCAGAGCAAACGAACAGGCCCTTAGGTAGCAATGATCTTCCATCATTGTCCGAGGTTTTCTCTCACATAAGGAGAGACTCAACTCCACATAGTGATCATGCTCCACATTCAGAGGGATCAGCCATGGTAGCTTCCAGAGGAGGTTTTACTGGTAGATGCGGAAGTAGCGTGAAGGGTTTTGGCTGTGGGCCCAAAGGGTGGACACAAAGGTAGTAGAGAGGTAGAAGGTGCAAGAGGTGGTAGTGGTCGTAGTGGTGGTGGTCGTAGTTCAGCTCATGAGTGCTCACGTTGTGGACGAGAAGGTCACATAGTCAACTTTTGTTATGATCTTTATGGCCCTCCATCTTCTTGGGCTAATCATGCTATGGTGGAAGATGATTTTGGGAATCTTAGTGTGACTAAAGATGCTCTTGCTTTTAATGTTGGTAAGGATAAAGATACAATCTCTATCTCACCTGAGGAGTATGAAAAGCTTCACCGGTTTGCTTCTTCCAATGCTAGCACTGCTACACTTGTGAGGTCAAGTACTGCCTACCTTGTTTCTAGACACCTTCACCCTATTCGTGTATATCGGGTGTATCGGTACTTTGGAGGTGACGCCTTATCACCTATTCAAACTCTTCCCTCTTTTCTTAATAAATTTTCTTTTCTATTGATCTTCAAAAAGGAAATTTGTTGTGGTGTATGAACACAGGATGTTAGATGTCAAATATCATGCTCATCAAAGAAATCGGAAAGAGAAGAAGACATATATTCTTTGGCATTATTAGATTGGAAAGCACAAATAGTAAGGCCAAACTAGGTTTCTATTTCCATGAAAAATGATTTAAAAACAGAAAATAACTCCGATCTATCTTTCATCAAGTAATCAAGTATAACTAAGTGAATCTAGAAAAATCATCAACGAAAGTGGCAAAGGATCATATGTGACTTCAATATCATCACAAACTAGTAAATATCTTCCCTAAGATGCAAGATATGGCACCAATTATGAAACAGATAATAGTATCAATATACTCATTCCAAAAATCTGACTAGGTTTTAGTTAACATTTGAGGCATCAGATATGGTTATATGGAAAATGAAATTTCTACTTCAGTAAAATGTTAGAAGCACTGGAATTGAAAGCTAAGCTTTCTTATTGATGAACAGCCCATAAGCATATGAAATATAAACAATTTAAAAATAGAAATAGTAAATGAAATGCAAGAGCATAAACATTGGGAACAAAACCACCTTTTGGTCTGAGACACCCTTTCCATAAGAAATTCCCTGCAATAAACAGACATTACATAGGTCAAATAGAAACTCCCCTTTACTGCTATGCTTCCAAGCTGTGTAAAAAGTGTGATAGAACCACCAAAAATGATTAAATTTCTACAGTCACTTGACCACTTATGGCAGAGATCTAGGGGTTAAAATACCACAAAAGAAAACAACTAATATTATTGAGCTTTTAATGGAACACGAAATCTTTCCAATTGCGATTTAGCTTTACTATTTTTTCCCTTAGTATTGTATCATTGGTTATGAAAAAAACATATCAACAAACTAAAATGGAAAAAAAACTGTACATGTTTGTGGCTTTCTTTTCATGGAAAAATATATTAGAAAAATGGAACCAATGCTCCATTAAGTTACTTGTTTTTTATAGGCAACAGTAAAAGTATATCTGTTGATTTAAAAATGGTTTATGCAGAGTAATTACAAGATTTAGGCTATGCTCAGCTACCTAACTCAAACCAATATCATAAAATTACTCCCCCAATACAAATCATCCCTACTGACTCCTTGTTTTGCAAGTGAACAGCCACACTGTTTGTTGATCTATTAGTCTAGATCCAAGCCACACCCAGTTTTCTAGCTAATTGTTTAGCCTCCCTCAAAGTATGTCTTTGTGGCCATGTGTCTTGTGTCTCCTTCTTTAACCAGCCTATTATATTCCTTGAATCTCCTTCCACTACAGTGCTGCCCAGACTCATCCCTTCAGAAATTTGTAGCCCTTGAAGTAAGCCTTTCGAGAGCGGTCTGGGACAAGGCTGATAAGGGGCAGGAGGAGATGCTCGAGGGGGAGGATAGTGATGAAATCTGTATTCTGTATTTTGTATTGTTTTGGCAGAGTCGGGCAGTTGTCCGTGGTTTGGGAGTGGTGTTGGAGGTTGGAGGCTTATGGGAGTTCGGTGTTTCAGTTGTAGTTTGGAGTTCTTTTTGTTTTTTTATGGATGCTTGTTGTAGTTCACTTTTTTTTTTTTTTTGATAGATCTTGTTGTAGTTCAGTTGGTGTTGGTGTTTTCTCGTGGGTCATAGCTTGTCACCTTTCTCTTGTACTTTTTCCTTTTATTAATGAAAATTTTCTTTTATCTATCAAAAAAATAAAAGTAAGGTTTTCAATTCTGTTGTCGTAGAATCTGTAGTTCCTATTGGTCCCAAAAAGGCAAGAAATTAGCAATGAAATCCTCGATCATATTTCTTGTAGCCCCACCAATTCCTGCAGGTCCTGGGTTTCTAATGCTACAACCATCAAAGTTTAGCTTCCATTGGTATGCTGATGGTGGAGATTCGTTCCTTAAAATGACTGATTTAGAGGTAGAAGAATCTGCCACCTGCTGCAAGCCCCTTAGAATATCATCCTTTGTAAATGGGTCAAAGAGTATAATATGTTTTGCCCAATTTACAACTGTCCATTGGATAGTTTCTATGACTTCCTTCTTGGGTCTTCTCTTGTCACTAAAGATTCTGATGTTTCTCTCCTCCCAAAGGGACCACAATGTGGCCACCCTAGGCCCCTAGCACATTTCCACAAGATTTTGCCCCTCTTTGTGTTGGGGTTGAAGAATTCCTTTTGAAACAACAGCTCTATATCCCTGGGGTAGACCACCTGCTGTCAAAGACAAGAATCTATCCCATACACTAGACATATAATTGCAGGAGATTAGCAGATGAAGTGCAAACCTGTCAAGAAAATGCTGTGACATGCACACTTGTCAAATTGACATCAAACATCTGAAACTTATAAAACTATTAGAAATTCAAAACATCTATCTAAATATCAATCAACTCCTTAAACTCCCCTTGTCCTTCCAGAGCTAGCAACTTGCAGTAAATCACTCCTGTTCATATATGGGGCCTATTTCTAACTTCTCTTCAACTAACCTTTTTCTATTTTTACCATAGTCTTCTCATCTTGCATCTCAACATACTGATCTCAGTTGTGCCATGTCTATAGTTGATTTGTCTTGATTGCCAAATCTTCTTCCACATAAAGCATGGTCAGCCTAACATTACTACTTATCAAATTTCCCTTCAGTTTGATTTTTCTCTATCATCATACAGTACTCATGGAAAAAACATCTTAGTTTATCTGTTATGTATTTATATATAATAATCTAGACATCTACCCGTAATTGTCAAACCTCGAAAACAAGAGACACTACTTTATCAACTATCATACGAATGTTCATGCAAAAATGAAAAAACAAAACCAACAGATTTAGTAAGCCCCTACTTTTGGGGTGGAAACAAAGACCCCTCATAGACAACTAAATGATATTTATTTCCTCACATGAATATAAAAAGAATCGTTGTGTCATAAGAAAACCACCAAATTAGATGCAATTTCTGTTATTTACCTTTTCCTCCCACAATAATTCCCACCATTTTTGCCATGGACAAAATGAATATAAACAATCACATGCACAAGCATTTCGAAGAGAAAATAAGAATACCCATTAACTCAATTGCATGGAATCCATTAATGAAAAAAAAAAAAACAAATCAAATCTCTTAATTGCATTGAATCCACTAATGAAAATAAATAAATCCGCATGCACTCCGAAGGGAATTAAGAATATCATCGACCAAAGACAACCCCGGAAGACAGTAATAAACAAGAACCCCTTGCTTGTCTACCCACTAAGAGATCAGAGATAGAGAAGAAAAATAAGACACTCGATCATACCGTACGAAGCTTGGAATACTGCAGTCTACGAAGCAGACCCTCTGCTCCAGATTGGAGGGAAATATTTCCATTGCCGTCTTCACGGACGAGAACATACTCATCCAGGAGAACTCCTCGTACGGCAGCCATTCTGTTCTCCTTCGATTGTCTGTTGTTCGCCCCCGAGTTAAGAGTTAACAAGCGCTGTGCTGTTAAACAGTTAAAGTATCAATTACAGTACAAAGGAAAATTATTCGAATATCACTCCGAATCCGGTGCGTTACAGGCTTAATGCTTTGTAAATAAAAAAATAATTAAATAAGAGAATAAAACCCTCATCCTCACAGACCGTATTCTCCCTGGTCGTCAACGACAACCAAAAATAAAATAAAAATCCAAAGTTTGGAGTTCTCAGACCAAACTGCAACAGAACAACGACAGTGATTAAAGTTTTAGAAAGCAAATATCTCTTAAGTGAAAACAATGTTTGATTGGTACTGTATAGATAAGCAAGAGTGGATAGATTAGCAGTGATCCGAACCATGATTTCCACCAATGGGAAGAAGCTTAATGCAGAACATGTTTTCCAACCATATTTGCACCATCACAATATAGAAACCCAAATGCAGACCAGGCATCCCAACCCGAATGCCGAGCAGGTTTCCCTTGGCATTCAGGTTGCGCACAAAGAAGGTGGAAAACAAGGACCAATCGTATAATTACTTTTCCAGAGACAGTGGATCAAATTCTATTCACCGTCGTCACCAATCACCATCATATTTGATAACATAGACCTGGCAATCCTTGTAAATACTGTGTCCATATTTCCTTTTCACAGATATAAAGAGGAGAATGCCGTTTGACAGCAATTAACAAGAATGCAGAAAATGATTCTCTTACCGGCGTTCAAGAAGAGAAGACGAGAACGCGGGCCAATTCACAGTTACAATTCTGTTGACCTTCACAACTTGCCGTAACAATTCATCGAGAGTGCTTAAAATTAGTGCATAATAGCAATTATTTTGGGCCGGAACTACACCAATAAGCAATTGTTTGGGCTGGGGAAATAAGCCGAATAAGTGCTTATAGAATTTCAGATTTTGGGCTTATTTCCTTTATGACCTGTATTGGCAGGCCATATCATTTTAAGGCCCTATTTAATGAACAAGTGGTTTATGAAAAGTGCTTATTGCACATTGCACTATAACCCCGTTTTCTAAACCACTTATAAGTTTTTATTAAAGTGAGGATGTTTGGCGAGCCACTCCAGTATTCAAGTATTTAATTTTGTGAAAATGACATTTTTAACCCCTATTTTATAGACACTCGTATAAATATTGGTTTTCACATAGTGTATTATATGTTTCAAAGAAACTTGCCACATAATTGCTTTGTGACACATTAGGATTCACATGTAACCTACATGGAGTGCCATGTAGACCCACACATGACAATAATACAACAATAAAACTACTATTACTATTACTATTAATAATGAATATTTTCACCAATACACAATTAATTATTTTCATATAATAAGTAATAATTAGAAAATCAATATTTGCATATTATCCCAAAATAAAAATATGTATTATGCAAGCAGAAAATAATATGGAAGCACACCACAAGTTTGCAATGAGAATTAAAAAAAAAATGTCAAATAGTCACATTAATATTCCAAAAATCAAATAAAAATTCGGAATATGTAAAAAAATAACAAAAAATTCGATAATGGCCTATTATTGGTAATACTCAACCAAAACGAACATAAAAAAAAAATCTGCTTATTCACGCAAACAAAATATACCAAAAAACACAAACAATATTGCACTAAACTTCGGTGTATATTAATGAAAAATCAAAAGAAGAAATCGATTTTTGGTTGCCGGCCGGTGGTATATTTTAATGGAAAAGGAGATGAAACAATCAAAGTTTTATGGGTTAGAGTTCTTACCTCCAGTCGCCGGGCAAGATTCCGATGAGATTTCGGTTGTAGATCTCAGATTTGGACAACCACAACACACAGTCCAATCAGTTAGAAAACCCCCAAAAAGACCAAAATTGGTTTTCGAAGCAATGGAAGTGATAGAAAAATGGAAAATGACCGCCTACCGGTCGGTTTCCAACCATTAAACTTGTCATCGGTCACCCCTCCAAGGTCTTGCTGCCGCTGCCCTATTCAAACTATGCGAATGGAGAATACAAGGGTTTTCTCCATTCACCGGGGCTAGTGTGGGCATTACGAAAATATTTTGAGGATTGGACCATCTCAAAATTTTCAAATAAGCACTTGTTCAATAAGTGCTTAAAAAAGCCACCTTGAACATGTTTATTTTTTAAGTGTTTACTTTCAAATAAGTACTTGTTCAAAATAAGCACTTATTCCTGACTTATTTGCCAAACAGGAATAAGTGTTTATTTTTCACTAATTGCGTGGTTCCACTACTTTAAGTACTTATTTGAATAAATACTTGAAATAAGTGAGATCAAATAGGGACTAAAAATACCTATACTATCTCCATCTCTGTTTGAAATAAATGCTTTTTCGTGGAATGTTGTTTATAATCACTTATTTTTAAACACTTGCTCAATAACTACTTATTTTTCAAATAATCACTCTAATCTCCGCTAAAATCTTTGGAGGCTTTGTGTTGCCGTCAGTGGTTGGAATATCAGTTTTCTGTTGCTCGTACAATATGGTATGGGAATGTGAGGTTTTGTGACTTTTGTTAGTTATTTTATTTATTGATTTTTTAATTATATTTATAAAATAAAATATTTTCAGCCAGTTGCAAATTTAATCCAATTCAGTAACCGTTGATGTGTAAAATTTTACTTAGACTCAAAGAGAAAATCCTTTGGATGCCAAAACGCAGCCAGAGTGGATGTGGAAGACCAAAATGCTCAGATATACACTATGTTTAACCCTTTGATAGGGGTGCAAATGGATTGGATCATGATTCGATCTGAAGTCCGATCCTATATTGTTAGAATTGAATATCCCTATTTCAGATCTTTGGATCGGATGGATCAGATCACCCATATCCGATTTTTTATACAAACATGTCTTGAAATCCATATTTGTTTACTTCATCACTTCTTGTCATTTTCAAGACATAAATGGATTCTTACCAAACACAAGCAAAATTGAACTAATGCAAATATGCACTGAACCGGCATTTGATCTCTTCCCAAAAAGTTGACTTAACTTATTTTGGCAATATATATATATAAAGTAAAAATAATAAAATCTAAAATAGATGATTTAATAATTAAAAAATATACTAGTTTCATATGATTTGTGTCTTATGCTCTATAATATGTAGATTGATTATATATTTATGTAATTGTTAATTAAACATTTAACACAAATAACTAATAATATGTTAATGGCTTATACAGGTAATAATTTGTAAAAAGCCATATAATGTGTCTTGGACTCTTTGTTGATTAAATGTTTTTCACTAACATGCATTATTAGTGAAGTTATTGTATGATATTGACTTTCCCACGTACTTGATTGTAATGTATAGTATATGTTTCTTATGTATTTATTCTTTATTCATGGTTATTTAGCTTAAAGGATTATATACATATATATATATATATAAGACATAGGTGGTAGAAGGAGTAAGAATTGATGTAAGTACCCACAATTTATCAATGCACTAGCAGGGACCCGTGCGGGATTTGTTAAGTGAAAGCTGAATAATAGAAAGGGTCATTTATTAAAACACTCATTATAGTTTCATGGATTTACTAAAATTTACCCTAAAGTTTGTATATAATTTATTATGGATTTAATCAATCTTCCATTAGATGATAGTGAAAAATGACAATGTCGACCCTAATGTTCATTTAAATAAATTTTATCAAAAGAAAATGAAAATACCATTTTTGCCCCTAATAAGACAAGCAACCACTCTATTGGCTATATTTGGTCAATTTTTTTTTTTGTACAAAAAAGTTATAAGGGTATTTTTGTAATAAAAAATTATGGCCCTAATGACAAAACAAACACTCCTTAATGAAAGGTTGATTAAGTAAATAAGTTGTAAAATATATGAGATATTTTATTAAAATGAAAACTATAAGGTAAGTTTAAGTAAATATGTAAAACTCTAAGGTGTGTTCTACTAAATGACCATAATAGAAACACATAAGAGTAGGGGTGTTAATGGACCGGTTTTGGGTTGGACTCTGTCCAAATCAAAATTCATTTGGATGGATTGAATGGACCAATAAGACATGTTGAATTTGGACGAATTGGATGGACCAATATGACATATTGGATTGGACCTGGTCCGTCCATAATGAATTTATATTGGATTGAACCAATATCTGGTCCATTGATAGAAAATAAGAACATAGGTGTCAACGGACTAGGTTTGAGTTGAAACCAATCTAAATTAATAGGAATTTGAACAAACTGGACAATCTTTGGAGTGGTCCATTTGTACCAGGTTCATTGGACTAGATTGGACCAGGTCCATTTGTAATGGACTCACATTGGACTGGACTAGATTGGACCAAATCCAGTCCAATTGACACCCCCTACATAAGAGTATACAACTATTTTATATTTTCAATTTTATAAATAATTAAAAATTATTTTATATACTACTTTTAATAAATTTTTTATAATACAAAAATAACAATAATTAGTTTCAGTTAGTTTTGTTCATTAAATTGAAGAAACTGACCAACCCAATCAACTTGACTTGACCATATTGGATCAATTTTGCTGTAGCCATTTGTAAATCGACCAAAATCGGATGACTTGACCATTGATTTATATTAATATTTTATATTTTTAATATGAAAAAATGAGAAATTTCTCATATTTCTTAGTCTAAAATGTTTTATATCATAAATTTCATTTTTAAACTTATTTTTTAACAATTGCACTATAATTTTTAAAATTTAAATTTAATTTTCAAGTTTAAATCTTTTAAACCAACTAACCAAACCAAAAAATCGACCCAAACTGATATAACTTGAGTGAGTCAGTTTTCACAAATGGTTAGTCGGTTTCAACTAACCAGTTCAATTTGGTTGGCAAAACAACATATAACCGAACCGAACCAACTCATGAACATTCATAATTTCAAATAAATTAATAGTTTCATCTTTGATAAATAATAATATTTTAATCTCCAATAATTGTTGAAAATTTATAGCAAAAATACAAAATTATTGGAAAATATATTGATAACGAAAAATACAATAAGTTCTAAAAATATATTAAATTAATCAATAAATAGTATAATCTCTAATAAAAATTAATCAATAAGTTATTTAAAAATTTCAATAATAGTAATTTAATCTACAATAATTATTGAAAGTTTTTTGATAAAATAACAAAACAAAAATAAATTTGTACATAATTATATTGAAAATACATTTACCATAGGAAACAATAAATAATTACTAAAATACAATAAATATTAATATTAGAATATATAATTATATAATAAATATATATTAAGAGTTTAAAATTATTATTAATAAATATTAATTTTTATGAAAGTTATTTTCTCGAATTATTAATTGATATAAGTGAAATTAGTTACTTACAATATTATGTAAAAATATTAAATTATTATTAAAGTTATTTAATTATTAATTTTGTAAAATATTAAATTATTATTGTTATCAATGTTATGTTATAATTATTTTTCTACTTTTCATATTGTTTTAAATTTAAAATCTAGTTATGTTAAATATTTTGCTATTTAAAATATTTAGTTACTTAACTACTAAAATAATATGTAAAATATTTATTATTTATTGAATTTAATAATCCATTAAATTATACTTTATACTATTATTACATAATTTTATTATTAATTTTGTAAGATATTGAATTATTATTAATATGAATAATGTGCTATAATTATTTTTCTACTTTTAAGAAATTTTTTAAATTTATTACATAATTTCATTATTTTAACTATTTATAATCTAGTTATGTTAAATATTTATTTAAATATTTAAATAATATGTAAAATATTTATTTTTTTATTTGAAATTTATTTATTTAAAGCTATTACATATTACTAAATATTTTGTTATATATTTATTTATATATTTATGATATTTTTTATTTATGATATTTATTTATTAAAATATTTAAATAACATTTTAATTTTTAATGTTAAGTTTTTATTATTTGAATAAAATTTAAATTGATAATCCAAAAAAACAGAATTTAAATTGTTAGTACATAATTTCGTGATATATTTTGTAAAAATATGGAATTAGTTTTTTTGTGTTTTTAATAAATATTTTTAAAGTTATTATATAATTTTGTTAGAATATTTAAATAATTCTTAAATTTTTTAATCCAAACTTTTTTAGATAGATATAGACAAAAAGCAGGGGAGAGGATAAATAGGAATTAGAGATAATTTAGGAGAGAAACTCTCTACTAAATTAGATATCATTTTTGAGATAAATAGAAATTAGAGATAATTTAGAAGATAAATAGGAATTAGAGATAATTTTGGAGAAAATGGGGGAGGTAGTTTAGAAGAAATTTTAGGAGAATAAATTATTTAGGTTATTGGAAAAGTGCATTGGTTGTTTCAAAAATGACATGGAATAAAAAGAAGGGTAAAATGCAAAAACCTCCCTTGAAGTTTCTGACAATCATAAAAACCTCCCCTTTAATTTCATTTTAACAAAAACCTCCCTTAAACTTTTAAATAACTCAACAAAATCCTCCCTACAGAAAATTTGTAAATTACAAAGTTGCCCCTGATTAATCGTCAGCGCATCATTAAAAATATCTTAAAATATTGGAATTGGCCACACTCAAGCAACAACACTTTTAGGCTTTGTTATAGTCCTTTTTCAGAGTAAAAGAAAAAAGAACGTAAACTAACCGAGTCATAATCTACCTACACCTGAATCATCTTGCCACTTTTGAGATTATATTGGTATAATAAGCGATGGTAATAGATGCATTCGACTTCAAGTCATTGATGTTGATCCTAACATGATTGTCGTTGATGTCAAACTGGAAGTCTTGAACCGTGTCAAATTCCATAGTGAAAACATGGTTGGAGAAGTTCCTGACATCACTAGCATTGAACTCTTTCATTGGATTTGAATTCCGATCCTTTGAGCTCATTCGTTGGATTTGGTTCTGAGGTGCTGACTCGAAAGTTCTCCTTTGAGCTCTTTCATTGGAGAGATCATGAAAGCGAGGCTATACCCACCAAGCTTCGGATACTTGGGGACGATGGCAAATGCGAAAGAAGTAGATAAAGAGAAAGCTGTGCCATCAGTGGAGTTTTTGAACCGGAGAGGAGATGGGTAGAAGGCGTGACCCACAAAATGACTCGTCTTGTTTGTTAATTGAAGAATCCCAACGTTCCGAATATGGGCAACTCCATTCAAATTTATGTTGGTACCAACTCCACTAGCTAGATCCACCATAGAAGATCTCGTCAAACTGGGAACAAAACCATGTTCCACAAGAAAATAAAAAATAAAAAACCAGAGAAACCCAAGATGCTTGGCCATTAAAGGAAAAAAAGCAAAAACCTTGAAAGTTGAGATTTGAGATATTGGCGTTGCAGAGTGAAGATGATGTGTGCTATGCACTTGGAAGAACTTTAGAGGAGGACGTTCTACTTCTGAGTTGTGCACTCGCTAGCTACAGCAAAGCGGAGGAGAGTTGAACCGATTTGTTGTTCGGAAGTAAGGAGAGCGGCGTCAGCTTGGACTTTAGTGTCGGAGTCAGATCGACGACCCAAAAAACAGAGAACCGAGTGCCTGATTTTCCCGTCCATAGTCCACTAAGAAAATTACAGACTTGTTCTTTTCAGCTAAAAGTAGCTCAACGGTTCAGTGTTAAACGTGCTTATGGGATTTTTGAGGTTTTCCTCGATGTATCATGCGTATCCAAATCTTTCTACTATATCAATGCAAATATCAAGTGATCACAATACCAATATGTATCCTTTTCTTTATCTTATTGATGCTTTGCTATACCAATATTTTGCATCTTGCCTGCAACTACTAATGACTGTTTCTGTGGTTAAATAAACATCTGATCTATATCTTATAATTTTAGTAACTTGAAGTCGAAGTATTCTTTTAATCATAACACCAGCTAGAATAAGGAAAAATGAAACCCAAAATCTACTTCAGTTTGAGAACTTCGGCTCTTTTTTGATCATTTTCAGAATATGGGTTTTTTTTTATTATTTTTTATAGGAAGAACCTGTATTATTAGTTCAAATTCAAACAACCATAATTATTAGGTTAAGTGTGCTCATCATGCTTGTTTAACTAGTTATTTTTCTATACTTAAAAATAATACTCAGAAGGAGCTGAACTAATGGCCAGTGGGCAGTGGAATTCAATTTACTATTCCCACAGAAGCAAGATAAAGTGCATTACTTAGTTATCAGCGTATAAGAAGATACATATAGGGAACTAAAAAGATGAAAATATGGCCCTTTAACTTGAGTAGTTAGTCCGCACGAAAATAAGGATCAAATCCAAAGAGCTGCACTGTATATACATACAGAGCCGAAACCAGTGCAAGTAAATGTCTCCAGATGTGATTTATTTGATACCCAAAAAAATAAGTTTCATATATAGGGAGTCGTGGAGATCCAAATAAGTACTAAAAAAAATGCAAAAATGCATTTTCAGATTTACTTTCTACATAAACTATCTCATTCTGCCACATTACCTTCTTCAGTAACAGAGGAAACATGAGTTACGCTGATCCAATTCTAAAGTCTAAACGACCAACCCAAGCCATAAGCTATTATTGGCAAATTTGAGATAATCCTGCCCAAGACTATAAAACTGCTTAGACCAGGATAACCAGTTGTCCTGTGCTACTACCCATAGTCCACAGGAAGAATGAGAGTCTTTGTTAAACTCAAAGCAAAAGCAGACTGAATTTCTTGCTTGTTCGAGGAGCTTGGATGACAAAGAGTCAGCTGCCTTGAATTATTGAAGAATTCACTCAAGGACAGATCAAGGAAGTATCCTACGGCGGCGTTTGACTGTCTCCCTCTTCACATACATCTTCTCCATTTCATTCAATGGGCGGCTGGAACCATCAGGTAAGCTGACAAATTTCCAGCCACCTCCACTTCCTCGCTTTCCACGTGGACCTAGTTTCTCAACTTTGAAGTTCCAGCCTTCTGAGGGGCGCCTCCTACTATATTTGTGGCATTTTACCTCACCAGCAACCTGCAAGAATCCATATCATATCAGAATATGGTTTTCCAAGAACATACTAGCATTTTAACTTGGGAGTCTTGAACTTTAAGTAGTAGAGGATATAACATATTGTCATGTGTTCACTTCTAAGTTCTAGTAAGATCGACAGGAAATAAATAAACCAGGAGGGGTAACTACATTTGTTTTACATGTGATTGATTCTTCTTCTGAAACCATGAAGGATGGTATTGTACTCAGAAATCCAAAATGATGCAAAGAGACGCCCCTGTACATTGAGACACTTTACAGGTGAAATACAACTGCACATGTATACCAATCAACTTATATCATCTCTGTTTCTAATGTTGCTACAGTAGTCCGAACCAGTAAGGAGAAGAAGAAAGAGAAGGAGAAGAAAGAACTGTCGAACCTGATAGCTAAACCCTATCARTCGACCTCTTAATAGTGATTAGGCTCTAATTAAATGTACAAGGACTAAACTRCCCCTACTTAAGTATGGGACAGAGAACCTCTAATAAGACTGCCACATAAGCTCATAACTTAACCAAGGTGAGTTGACTAATCTACCCTTATTCGGCTAACTCTAACACTCCCCCTCAAGCT